TCCCTTCTAACAGCCTCTTGTTCCTTCAAAGCTTGGCTTAAATGCTGCTATTATGTGTGGCCTTTCCTGCCTCCTGTCCAGATCCCACATAACTTGTATTTATTTTGTACGTAATTTATATAAACTTATTTTATATGGACTTCTTGTATCTTCCTCTGTCTCCCTCAGTAGAGCGTGAGACCCTTGATGGCAGGAACTGTTTTTTTTTTTTTGTCTCTGTGTCCTCAATGGCTGCCATCGTAAATTAATAGCTATTGATTGACTAAAATCACCAGATCTCTTTGTGATGAATTCTTAGTGGCTACACTTTCCCTGTCTTGTGCTTGTGAAGAGCTGTGAAAAGTTGTGCATCTATTGCTGTTAAATTTCATCCTATTTGGGGCAGCTAGGTGGTGTAGTGGATAGAGCACCAGCCCTGGAGTCCGGAGGACCTGAGGTCAAATCTGGCCTCAGACACATAACACTCACTAGCTGTGTGATTCTGGGCAAGTAAGTCACTTAACCCCAATTGCCTCACCAAGAAAAAAAAAAAATCCTATTCTGTTATAGCTTATTGAGATCTCTTTTGGCTCTCCTTCCCAGCTTTGTTCCATCCGCAAGTTTGATAAGCATTTCTTTACACAAATCATTGACAAATATGTCAAGCAGGACAGGACCAAGCACATGTCTGTGGGCCACTTCACCGGAGACATTAAACCGCTGATGACTTTTCCCTGGGTGTGACCATTCAGGCAAGTGACTGAATAGACTGTTCTGTCTGAATTGTGCTCTTACCTGGTCCACATCTCTTCATCTTTCATACAAAAGCAATCAGAGAGACTTTGTCTAAATCCAAGTAAATTGAATCTAGAGCCTTTGCCGGACACAGCAGTTGACCAACCCTGTCAGGAAAGGACAGAGGGTTCGTTAGGTGTGACCTTTTCTTGATGAAGTGATGGTGGCCTTTTATGATAAGCACATGCTTTTCTAGATGCTTGCTAGCCAGACAGCTGGGGGGAGGGGAAATTGCTGAGCTTAGAGGCAGTCCTGAGTTTAAATCCTGCTTCAGACGTTTAAACGCTATGGGTGATCATGAGGGAAACATATTAACTTCTTTTGGCTTTATTTTCCTTATCTGTAAAATGAGAGCATTAACCATGATAACCTCTAAGGTCCTTTCCAGCTCCAAATCTATAATCTAATAAAAGGTTCTAATATTTTGCTAGGAATCCAGGTCAATCTAAGATTTCATTATCTTCCCCATTCAGAAAAAAATGGATAACATTTACCCTTTTTCAATTCTGTTTTCTGTGATCTTTCTAAAATCACAAAGAGTGGCTTCACAGACATTTACCAGTTCTTCCAGTAGCCTAGGATGGGTTTATCCTGGGCTTAGTGACTTGAAATCATTAAAAGCTTCTAGGTATTTCAGATAGCTCTTTTACTGCTTCCTTCCTTAATCTTTCTGTTTCAACTCATTAATTGTTTTCGTTCTTTCCTTTCATCCAAAAATCCTTTTCTTTGAGAAAACAGAAGCAAAATGAGAATTGAGCAGCTCTGCTTTCTATGTGTCATCTATTATTGTTCCATCTGTTCCAAGCAGTTATCCTGTCCTTTCTTTGATCTTTTTCTCCAGGATAACTTTTTAAAAATTATTTTGTTGTCTTTAGCATTTCTGCTTAACCTCAGCTCATTCTAAGCATTAGTGCTCATGACATCATTCTTAGAAGAACAGATCATGCTTTTATATTCATCCTCCACTATTTGCCCCTCCATCTTTTCTATATATATATTTTAGAATTTAAATTAATTGATGATTCTCCTATATGTCTATCCATACTGATGTGTTTAGACAGCCTCCCCTACAATTTTTCTTCCTAAATAAAATTACTTCCTTTTTTTTGTCTTCAAAACTTCATTGTAGAAATTTCCCATCCTGCCTTGGGGTGCTACCTCTTCTTTCTCTGGACCAGTTGGAATAAACTTCTAAAATCTAGGGTGCACATTGGGCTATGCCTGATTTTCCTCCATCACAAAATCTAAGAATAGTGTGGTCAGTCACTTCCTCTCAGGGTTACCATTATTTCCATCTTGGCTTCTAGCTTCTCCTTGTAAGTGAGAAACAGATCCAGAATATAATTTCCCTTTGTTGATTCCTTCACATTTTGAAGGATTAAATTATCCTTAAGCTAGTCAAGAAATTCTTAGCTGCCCTGCTTTGGGCAGAAAGCTCTGGGTTTTATAATAAATGAAATTCCCCCTGTGACTGTAGTATCATGCCTCTGTGTCAGGCCTGTGGCCTTTCTAAACTCATCATCTATGTCCTGTTTCTGTTCAGATGGTTTGTACTATATGCCAATGAAAATATGATTTCTGTTTCTGCTTTCGTTTTTCTCACAAATGTGCGCTAGCTTGTAGAATTCACTCTCTGGGTTTTGGACTTCTTCACATGAGTATATTTTCTAAATGTACAATTCTTTTCTGTCCCCTCCTCCTTTTGCCTTTTTGAATAACATATACCTTCCCAAGAGCATATTTCAGTCCTGGGTCTCCTTTGACTGTATTTCAGTGATGCCTTTGAAGTCAAATATGCCTCCTTGTGATAGCATTTCTAGTCCATTTTCCTTGTTACCCAAGACTTGTGTTTTTTAATATTGATATAAAGGTGATGGATTTTATTGCATAAATCCCATCTTGAATTTTGTCTGATGCAATTTTATGGTTGTCTTTCCTGTTACTTTTACTACTGTAGCCTCTTTCAGTGTTATCTAGCCTAGTGGCATATTGCTGCCAGTAGGTATCTTCCTTCCTCCACATTCCCTTTCAACTTGGAATAGATTGCAAACTCCAGACAAATACATGCTCACCAGCCCTTGAGTGGTTAAGTGGACCCTTTTCCTTAGCCGGGGGTCTCTCCTTCCTATATCTTAAACCATACTCTAGCAATAAAAGTAAAAAGGAACAAAAGAGGAGGATAGAGCATCTTATGGTACTGTGGAAAGAGAAGTCAATGGAGAGCCAGAAACCCTGGGCATAAATCCCAACTCTGTAACTTGTTCTCTTTGTGACCTCACAAGATTCACTTAACCCCCTTGGACTTCATTATTCTCATCTGTAAAATAAGGGGCTTGGACCAAATGATCACTCATTTTCTTTCCAATTCTAAATCCTACCACTTGTATTAATGAAAGAAGACAACCTTATAGTGAGGATTTTTTTTTTCCCTTTATGGGTCACCCTGTTTCTCAGTTCAATTCTGAAGCTAGTATTAGAAGATACCTTAAGCCCTAGTAGAAGACTTATTACTTAGATAATACCTGAATACCTTAGATATCACTTGATAATGCCTGAAGTAATTTCAGCATAATAATAAATGTTGGTAACAGCATGAAAAGCAGCACCATCACCCAAACATTAACTCTTTACCCACTGAAAACTGTCAGAGTGCTATTAGAGCATTTATTAAACACTTAACATGTCACTTTGCGAAGTGCTGGGGATACAAATATAAGCAAGTAAGCCATTCCCTGCCCTCAAGTAGCTTATATTCTAATGAGGAAAGACAAATGTGAAAGAAGAGCAGGGAAGAGGAAGACAGCATGGGGTAGAGATGAGCAGAACGTGGCGTAGAGGCTTGGTTCTGGGCAAGTCTTAAAATGAAAGTTCACTTTAATTTCAAGTCACTCTGCCTCAGTTTCCTCAGCTGTAAAATGGGCATAATAATAGCAACTACATCACAAGGTTGTTGTGAGGATAAAATGAAATAATATTTGTAAAAAGTGCTTAGCAAAATGCCTGGCATATAGTGGGCACTAGGTAAATACTTACTCCCTTCCTTTCCTCTTCCTGTATCGAGGACCCATTATCTCAGGATGCTGGGTGGGAGGGAGATGAGGATGCTGGCTAGATTGAGGCAACATAGTGAGGAAGTGGGAGGGAATTTAAGGACTGTGATATGATTGACATAAGCAGTACAGAGCTTGGGGACACTCATTGGAATAAAAACTTGATCCTATTCCGACAGTTTAGGGCATCATTGGGCACCTTTATGTTCTGTACATTCCTAAACTTGACCAGTAGTATAACAGAGTAGTTTCATCATTTAGTAGGAATCAGAAAATTCAAAATCTGATTATGAAGCAGTTTTCTTTCTTTCATGGTAGTGCCTAGGACCCTCAGACTTTTTTTTTTTGCTATCAAAACAGAAAATTTTACCACTGATCACATTCATCAGGCTAATCAGAGGTTTACTTCCTGGGTCTAGAAGGATGAGACAGTTTAGTCATGGAGCAGACTACAGTCCTTAGGATGGTTCTTATTATAATGTTGTTTTGTTATATCATCCTACAGCTGTTGGACACATGAGCGTTCTGGAACATTGTGGATTGTAGGTGATTGGGGGAAGACAATTGGAATAAAAGGGACCCTGTCCAGTGAGGGGGTTGAGATTGTTCTTGGAAAGGACAGCCCAGCCTCAGCCCTCTGCCCTTCCCCCACCTCTCACCCCAACAGTGGAGAAATAAAATGACTTTCCCTTCTTTTATAACAGTTAGGTCTGGCCAGGGAGCCTGGGCAAAATGATTTTTTTTTCCAACATGAAAATGGTTTAGTGGAAAGAACACTGGATTTCAAGTCAGAAGACCCAATTTTGAACTTAAGCTCTCCCTCTTGAAGGTGTGACCTAAGACAAGTCGTTTCACCATTGTGGTATTAATGTGGGAGTCATACTACATGATCTCTAAGGTTGCTTTTCAGCTCTGACCTGTGATGTGCACTGATACGAATTTAAAGTACTACAGCCTTCTGCTAAAGGACACCTCATTATTATTGTTATGAAGGTACCTAGCCTCCCTAGGGAAGGAGGAATCCGTGCATCACTGTAGTCACTGAATTACTCACCAGATTCAGCCAGCCTGGAGTCATCCTTAGATCTTCCCACTCCATCAGCAGGCAGTTGCCCTGTGTCTTGTCAGTTGTACTTCCACAACATATCTCGTGTCCCTGTCCTTCTCTTTACCGACCTAGGTCAGTCAGGTCCTCATCCTCTCCTGCCTGGGCCTTTGCAATAGTCCCAATACTCCTAATTGACGTCCCTGCCTCCAGCGGCTCTTCTCGGCAACTCATCCTCCACGGAGCTGCCGAGTTGATATTGCCGCAGGTTTGTTATGTCCCTCCGCTGCTTGAGAAGCTTCGGTCATTCTTTCTTGAGAGTAGACTAAGTGCAAATAAAATAGACATCCTGCACATTCCTCTGCGTTCTGGCCAACTCAGCCTTTGGCCTTCGTGCTGTTGGTATTCTGTCTCCCGTCTTTGGGAAGGAGAGCCTAGGTCCGGAATGTGTTGCTTCCTCACTTCTGCCCCAGAGAATCACGAGCTTCCTTCAGAACTCAGCTCACATTCTACCTCCTGCAGGAAGGCTGACCGAGAAGCCCCGCTGGTGGTGGCCCTCCCCCAATTACTTTGGGTATATTTTGTACTTAATTCTCTTTGCACATGTCATCCCCCCCAATTCCCAATTATCCTCTCCCGAATAGACTGTGAGCTCCTGGAGAGCAGACTTCTGGTTTTTTGTCTTTGTATTCTCCAGTGCCTGATACCTAGTAGGTGTTTAATAAATGTTCACTGAATTGAAATTCCTTCAGTTTGACAAAACATCTGGCACTAGGAAAACGAATGTCATTTTAGTAGAATCATTTTTCTATTTTTACTATTCTACACTAGGTTGGTTCAGAAAACAAGCCAAATAACCAGTTTCTGTTCAGAAAGTTGATTCGCTTGCTTTGAAATGAAAATGAAACTAAATTGCATTACATTTTTTTTTCCAGCATGCTACAAATGAAAACTGATGAGAATCAGGGTTTGTCTGACATGAACACAGCAAGTAGTCCTTTGAAGCCCGTTAAGATGTGCCTTAATCAGCCCACCGAGTGGAATCTAAGTCTCCCAGCCTCACCTCTGGCCAGCCGGCCAGCTGGGAACCACGAGCTCTCTAGTGAAGAGAACAGCTAGGCTGCAGAAGCATTCTTGCACTATCCCCTTTTGTACATCGACATTATTTCTGCCGAACGATAAGCATTTCTTGTTCTTGAAATATTTCCAATCTTGTGATTTGTCTTTATATTAAATCACTAGCATTATTCGTTTGATTTACTCTTTGTATATTTTTATATGTCTTGCACCTGACCATCGTGGAATTTTGCAGTACAAATGGAACTTGATGTTTCTCTTTTAATAGTATTTTGTGACTTTTCTATGTCCTTTTGAGTTTAAATATATGATTTTGTCTCTGTTTTGTGCACAAAGTTTTAATATATAAATGTAATGTGTGACTTGGAGAGCAAATATTTTAAAGGTTTGTGCTGATGACCTGATCCGTACATGATTTTGTAGCAGTTGGATGCCAATAATAATGATGATGATGATGATAACGATAATGATGACTTACATTTATAAAGCGCTTTAAGGTTTGCAAAGTGCTTTACATACATTATTTCATCCGATTACCTACCAACTACCTCGAAGCAAAGCAGTAAAAGGCAAGACAAAGATGTCTCCCCCAAGGAAATCTCCTTCAGTCATTTCACATGTATGGGAAAGTCATTCACAATATGTCATCCATTCACAGAGTTCCTTTTATAAGTGGCTTTGACTCATTTGATTTCAGTTGGCTCCTCTTCCTCCTCTTGAGTTTTTAGCTTAGGTTCTGAAAATGGCAAATCTATGAAAAAAAATTTCTATGGATTCAATTTCAAGGTTGTCATTCAGCCAACTTCCGGCTGCCCTTTGTGTGGGCAGATGTATTGTTGTCACTATTTAGAGGGATACGTTTCATGTAGTTTCTCCGCAGTCCTCCATCCAGTTTGGGTTTAGTTGTTATTTTGTTTTTTGGTCCAGACCTCAGATTTCATCAAAGCTTTTGGTGATGAAACAATCTGTACCAATGCAAAGGCCAACTTTATAATAGTCTTAGAGCAGGGGCTCTGACGCTTTTGTTGTTCTTAACCTTTGGCAGGCTAGTGAATAATGTTTCTAAATGCATAAAATAAAATACATAGGATTACAAAGGAAATCAGTTATATTGAAATAAAGATGTATTTTTTCCCATACAATTTCCTAGATCCCTTGAAATCTTTACACATCTCTGTTTTAGAGAGCTGCCTGGCCCCTTAGAAGTTATGGTCACACAGCTAGTATGTGTCAGAGGAGGGACTTGAATCCGGGTTTTCCAGACTCAGAGCCCAGTCCTTTATCCAATAGGCCATGCTATTTCTCAGTGGTTTTGTGATACTATTTAAGTTAAAAAGTACCATGCTTTTTGTGCTTAATTTTGTTTTACAAAAGTCTTCTCTCATTGACCTGGACCAGAGAAAAGCATTGGTGCTGATAACCAACTAAAGTGGATCTAGGCCATGGATCCTTTCCATTTGGACAGTCCAGCAACTGGGTAATTGGGAGGTAAAAAAAATTTTTTTTTTAAAAACAAAACACTTTTCTTAACAGCATATTTCAAATGTCTTTTAAGTCAAGGTGATTTACACACTTGAAAGTTTCTTATTATTTTTCCTCCCAAGAATTATAAAACACACCAGTAGGATGAAATTGTAGTTATTCTTTTTTTTTTTTTTTTGCTAGGCAGTGGGGTTAAGTGACTTGCCCAGGGTCACACAGCTGGTAAGTGTTATGTGTCTGAGGCCGGATTTGAACTCAGGTCCTCCTGAATCCAGGGCCGGTGTTCCATCCACTGCACCATCTAGCTGCCCCGAAATTGTAGTTATTCTTTAGAATAATCTCTGGAAGGAATTTGAGGCACCTCTGTGTGCATGATAACCGTGGGAAAGAGTACTAAATTTGGAATCAGAAGATCTGAGTTCAAATAAATATAGGCTCTGCTATTTAGTACCTATATGACCCTAGGCAAATCGCTTGACCTCTGGGCCTCAGTTTCTATATCTATAAAAAATGTAAGGGTTAGCCTAGATGACCTCATGGGTCCCTTCCAGCCCTAAATCTGTGATCCATTTCTAACTAATAAATTACTTCTCTTTAATTTGTCATTTTGCATCTTTCATGCAATCATCTGTCTTTTAGCTTCACACCCATTCAGACACCCCAGTGTTTCTGGTTTCTGTAGTGACTGTATGGTAGTAATCTAGTGGTTCATGGCAAATGCCTCTTTGGTTTCTAGAATACAGCTCCTCCAGTGATGTCTTTATGGTACTTTTTTCTCCTTGGAAACATCACATTAAACAAATATAACCCATCGAAAATAAAGTGTACATAGTTTTGGTCCTTGATGCACAGTTTTTAGTAGAAACAAAAGTTCAATATGTTGGAAATTTTCTCTGTCACGTTTTCTGTTCTGGGAATAAAAGAAATAAATTTATGTTAATGTTGAGGAGGGTGAAGGGGGGTGAAGGAGGGAGTAAGGAAAGCAATCTGGGTGACTTCTTATGTTTGCTTTAAATGTTAGATATTACCAGGGAAAGGGACTCCAATTTAGTGTATCCAATTTTAGGATCCAGGTGAAGATCAATTTCAGAAAATATTCAGTTCAGTTACGGTTCCAGTGGAAAAATACTTCTTTGCACTGAGGACGGATGATCTCACTGGGGTGAGAATTCCTTTTTGCCCAAGTGGAGTTCAATATGCCTACAACTTAGAACCTTCAAGCATTGCCCAGGCCCCTTCACCAGAAAGAGCAAATGATCCATTTGCCCATGGTTAAACAATCAGTAACTGTAAGAGGGAGGATGTGAACCCAGGCCTTCCTGATGCCACCAGTGAGGGAATAATAGGATTGAAAGTTTTTTTTCACATAAGGGACTAGATGGTTGTCAGCTGCCATCTTATTTTCTCATAGAAAAACCAAATAGTTAAAATTCTTAAAAGTGTGAGAAAAAATAACAAAACTGAGGAAACCAATTTACATGCCATATATATTCTTACTTGTATATCAGTTACATGAAGAAAAATTTTCACAGAAGCATTCCCAAATATAAACATTTTAGTCACTTTATTTGTAAGGATTTAATATTGTTTTATGTTGCTTTTTAAGTCAATTTCTCATATTTGCCGTGAAGCCCAAAGTAGTTTTATTCTGAAGCATGAATTACAAAACCAGTCAAATTGTAGTCAGTAATTTATATGTAGCAGATTCCCTTTCTATATTCAGTTTTCTACCTGCTTGAAAGATGAATCATTTTCGTCTGCTTTAGCATCATTTTTTACTCCGGAGAATCAGCCACCTTGTCACTTCGATTGTTTCTCTCCTGTTTCTCTAGAGATGGAAGCTGCACATCTCTTGAAAGTCCCATAATCCCTAGCTTGGCCATCATTTTCAGTTTTCTCATTGTGAATGGCACTACTCTCTTAGTACCGTGACCTCACAACCTACATCGTTCATGTTCAGCTTATCTCCATAGCCAATCTGATACCAGACCCTATCCATCCAAAACATGCCAACAAGCATCAGAACTGACCTATTGTGTGTAAAGCATCATGCTAGATGCTGAAGAACTAAAGACAAAATATTCAGCCCCTGCCCTCCAGGAGCTTAAGCTGATGCAGCATATAAGTAGGTAAGTAGATGCATGCTAATTTGAGGACACACCACTAACAGCAAGAGAGATTAGGAAAGGCTTACTAAAAAGTGGCAAGTGCGTTGTCCCTTGAAGGAAGGGATGGATTCTGAGAAATGGCAGTGAGACTACAGGGGATAAGAATGAGTGGCCAGGTGGACAGTGGGTAAGAGTACCCGGGCCTAGAGTGAGGAAGATCCAAGTTCAAGTATGGCAGCAGACACTAGTTGTGTGACCTTTGGGGCACCTGTTTGCCTCAGTTTCCTCATCTATGAAATGGGGATAATAGCACCTACTCCCAAGGCTGTGAGAAACAAATGCACAGTATCTGACACATAGTAGGCACTATATAAATGTCAGTTACTATTATTATTATAATTCTAGGCATAGAGGACAGTCTGTACAAAGGTAGAGAGACCTTTTCTCCTTCCAAAAATGTTGATCCTGTGGTTAGCCTGTTCAGCGTCACCTTGTAAGTACCTTGGTCCCTTGTCCTAATGCTACCCATCCTTTATCAAACGCGTTCTTGAGATTCTGGACTACAAA